GTTTGCTATGTGCTGAGGATAGGCCGGTCTGAAAGACTTGAGGTCGAGTTTTGACTGTAACTTGAGCACGGTGATTTCGGTTGTGTCAGCATATGCTTCTGGAGTTATATGTCCGGTAAGTTTTCTATGGATGAAATTTGTTACTCGGTGAGTGGTTGGATGGCTATATGATGAGTAAAATATGAATGCGGGATGTGTTTAGATGGTTTGAATATGACGGGAATATTTTTCTTGAGATGTGAAAAGGACTATTGGATACTCGATTTATGTGGATGTGTCATATAGTCTTGAGTTATGAATATTTTCGAGAGATTCTTTTGTGTTATTTCATTTGTGGAACGAAGTATATTTCCATGTCTTATTGATGATTTCAGACTCAAGAACATTAAGTGATTGTGTAGTAGTTGTGGATGTAAAAGGGTATAAAGAGATATTAGTTTGAGGCTAAGTACGTGGGTTATCACATGCGGGGTAATCTACGGATGTGTGATCCATATGATGTTGTGTGGAGGATTTCTTTTCTTCCAGTAGGTATAGCTGTTGCGATTTGTGTTTGGATTGGTTAAGAAAGTTGAACTGTCTGTCACGAGGATGAATGAAAGCTTAGCAAATGATTTGAGGTACTATATGGTTTGTGTTATATGAGCTTATGAAACATTTAGTTGAATCTCACAACGGTATTATGGCAGTAGTAGAGTATGGGAATTGTGAGTTATCGAGTTTTTTGATCTATGGCATTGAGCTAAGTGAGGGAGTCTGCTATCGACAATTTGGTTGCATGGTTACATGTTGTGTTGGTTTCGGTCTGAGGCATGCTTGCGGATCGGTTATGACTTGCAGAGTCTAGTTTTGAGGATGACTTAAGTAAGAAAATTTCCGGATGCATGGTATATGACACATTATGGGTATATGAAAATCAAGGAATGATTTGAGTTGTTATTCGTGATGGATATAGTGCGCATGGGGTAGGAATTTACTCGGTTGTGTTAAGGCGTAGTTACTTCTTTGGGTGTTGTCGTTCTAATGGGGCGCATGTTGTTCGGCCCATTTGGGCGGTGCAGTTGAGAGTTGAGCAGAGTGGATGACTGTTGAGAAGGTTCTAATGGATTCAAGATTTATATGTAGTAATTGATAATTTTTTGGATTTGTATATGGCTAGGATCTGAGATTTACATCGGACGGTGTCGAGACTCGAGGTATTTCTACATCATTATGGATTCTATTTTTCAGTATTAGGAAGGTGAAGTTAACGACTTTAAATTCAAAGAAGGTCTTTTCAAAGTGGGTGTCTCGATTGTGGTAATTTTGGGTGCTTAAGAGGGAATACAATGGCTTATTGGCCTTGGGTGGAGTGGTTTTAAGCTAGGATCTCTTATGGTGAGTTGTGGATAAAGATCATGGTGTTTTGGAAAGTAGAAGTGTCAACTTGAGGGTAATTCAGAAGGAACTCGGAGAAATAGGACATCTTGGTAGTAGGTTCGATCATCACGGTAATGGATATAATCGGTTCTTTGGGTACTTGTGATGTGGTGAGCCTCTACATGTGTTTTATGGTAATACTCTTGAATTTGGCAACCAATGTGGCTTGGTTGAGTTAGAGAGATTCTGTTCTGATGGCTTGGTTATGCGCAAATGGGTTTCGAAGTGCTCTTGATGGTTTCTACCATGGTTTGAGATGGATATTTCCTACCGATATGAGGAGCACAATGCGTATTATGTTTTTCTACTTGATGGGATCAAGTAAAAGGTTCCTGGCTAACTGAGCATGTAGTTTCTTGTGACTCAGGGTTGATAATAAGGTTCTCGTATTTTAATATGATGGCATGATAGATGAGGTATGTTGTGGGGGACTGCAATTTATATGTGCAATGTCATGGTTCAATTTTGAAGGGAAGATCATGAAATATTAGACATCACAGACGATTTCCGATATTTTGATGAATGCTATAACTACTTGGTAATACCTGAGAAAGGCGCGCATTTCAGCAGGCACATCGCGTTTTGACTTATGGATAATTCATTGGTATTGTGGTACTCGTCTGGTTGATCAATTGCTAATGTTCAGATTTTGCTATATGGCACAAAAGAATCATAGAAGTATTCCTCGTTGGATGATTGTGTATGAGAGATGTGTTAGACACTCGAGTAGTAGAGTTGGGATCAAATATAGTGATTCGTGTATTCTATGGATTTGGAGATTAGAATTATCAAAAGAAGATTGTTTTGTGGTTGCGGACTGTGAAGATGTGGCCAAAGTTAGACAGATGGTGGTACATGTTATAGTTAAAATCTTTGGATTGTTGGAGGGGTATTTATCAATTAGTGGATGACCAGAGTTGATTTAGGGCCCGTTAGTAGGCCCGAGTGGGATGTGCATTCTACATCCGGTTGGATTTGTTGACTGAGAACTATTAGTGTTGAGAGGTGAGTCATTCGGTTAGAGTTGAGCTTGTTCGTGTTCTTACATTTTCTATGTGTTACTCTCCTATGACGAGGGGTTGGGATTTGTTGGTTATATGCACACATGGTGCGGTTCTATTTGGGTCTTGTAGCGGAATTTGAGTGAAATGGTTATTGGGTTGTGATGGTTGATTGCACCTTGATTATGGCCTTTTTTCAGTTGTGTTATATTGTGTTGCTTGCTTCTCCATGGTTATAGCCATGCACTTTGTGTATTTGACTTCGAATTGCGTGTGATTGTTGATTTTAAGCATTGTGGCTTGAGGTATTTCATATGGACCGGTGTTTGGATAGTGTCAGACATTGAAGCAAGTTATGTTGGGATATGATCCTTTGTGTTAGATTCGTGTGTCTTGGTTCTACTATGTAAGATGGGCTCATAGCATTACGGTGTGGTGGTACTTGTCGAGCTCTCGGGACGGTTTTCTCATTTGAGATATTTTCATTTTTCGGTGCATTGATTTATTGCGTATTGGTGCACAGATTACACAGTTTGTGGCTCTAGGTTGTATTGATAATACATGTCAATAGAATGGTTGTGTTTTACGAAATGAGTTCATTGGACCAAGAATGAGTACTATCGTATTTGATTGAAGTATATATGGAGGAATAATACCGGAAGTTCGGCTTAGGATTTGGCTTTGGTTCTGATTGGGCGAAAGAGCGCTCTATGACTTATTGATCTGATAAGTGGTTATGAATTTCTGCGTATTTCTTTCATAATTGGCAGCTTACGAAGGTTTTAGAATGAAATTTTGTTTGATATGAAGTTTATTACCAGTATCGTGTTTGTTTTTGAGCAGCTACTGTGATCGGGACTTTATTGCTACAAGTATATGAGTTGTGTGGTATATCATGTTATTATATCTTGGGTTATGATTATGGATTTATATAGCTTATTCAGACTTATATAGTGTGTAGATGCAAGATTTAGGTCTTGTAAGGAGTTTGGATGCTGGAAATTGGGTTCTAAGGCTTACAGACTAAGGTTAAAGTTATTACCTTCAGTTAGGATGTGTTGTCAGGCTTACATGTATTGGGGTGACGTGGGATCACCCCCAAGTATGTGCATGATGAGGTTGCACAATGATTTGATGGCTTAGGAACAATTCTTAGCATGTTCAAAGACGGACATATGTTTAAGTGAGGAAGAATGTAACGACCCAGTCGGTCATTTTGAGCATTTGCATTCTGTTCAGCTATTTGAAGTCTTGGGTAGCATCGTGTGATGTATTATGACTTGTGTGAATCGTCGGTTTTGGTTTTTAGGTTATTCGGGACTGATTTGGAAGGATGATTGTCAATTAGGAAGCTTTAAGTTGGAAGGGTTGACCAAGTTTGACTTTTTACTACTTGACCTCAGATCAGAGTTTTGATGATTTCGTTAGGTCCGGATGGTTATTTTGGACTTGGCTATATGCTCGGATTTTCATTTGGATATTTCTAGTAGGTATCAGCACTATTTAGAGAAAGTTGGAAATGTGAAGGTTTGGAATGCTCATAAGTTTTACTGGGAGTTGACTTCGATGATATCGCGTTCATTTTGTGGTTTCTGGAATTGGAATAACTTCGTTATGTCATTTGGGACTTGTGTGCAAAATTTGAGTTCATTCCAAGTTGATTTGATAAGGTTCAGTACGAGTTTTGGAACATGAAAGATTCAAAGTTCATTAAGTTCGATTTGAGGTACGATCTGTGGTTTTGATGTTGTTATGCGTTATCTAAGGCTTAGAGTAAGTCCATGTTATGTTATGCGACTAGTTGGTATGTTAGGACGAGGTCCCAATGGGCTCAGGTGAGTTTCAGATAGATTTGGGTTGTGTTGCACGCATTTTTTATGTTTCGACGTCGTTTCTTCAAGAATAATTGGTACCACATTAAGAAAATGAGCTCCAATTTATGTTTTGATTGAAACGTTATATTTGTATCGTAATTTTGGAATCATAGAAACGGGAACCATCAAGTTTCGATATCGTACGAGGAATTTATGGTCATTTTAGTAAGAATTGGGTTGCTAAATTATTTTCAGATTGATTACGAAATTACCACTGAATTCATACTTAAATATTTGCACTATTTTTAAATATTGAAACCAACATATCTTGTCACAATTCAAAATTTTCACCTTCCGGATCGTGATGTCGTCTAACATTTCACTTGCTAAGCAGGCCAACGTTAGAATAATCTTAATCATTTTTAAACAAATCAAAAAATGGATGTCCATTACCGAAATAAAGTGCGGAAGACCATAACAATAGAATCGTCCAAATACACCCCAGAATGTGGTGTCACACGTGCATAAGCTACTAGAATCATACAAATAAAGGTCTGAATAAAATTCAAGCTTTTTGGAAGAAATACAAAGCTAAGATAAAGTACAAGGGACTTCAGAACTGTGGACGTCGTGTAGTTAGACCTCAAGTCTCCTCTAGATATCTGAATCCGAGAAAGTTTTTAGTACGCCGCTGGGATTAACTCCAAATTCTCCACAAGAAGTGCAGGGTGTAGGCTATAAGTTGTTATCTATACATTGAGGTCAAATGTTACAGGACCTATTTGGCGCGGGGACTGATACAACTACAAGCACATTAGAATGGGCAATGGCAGAAATAATTAGACAACCAGAGATAATGAGAAAAGCACAAGCTGAGCTTGCACAAGTCATTGGAAAAGGAAAAATAGTAGAAGAAGCTGATGTTGCCCAACTTCCTTACTTGCAATGCATTATCAAAGAAACATTAAGAATGCATCCACCCGTTCCGTTCTTACTCCCGCGTAAAGTGGAGCAGGATGTTGAAATGTGTGACTATATTATCCCGAAAGGGTCACAGGTACTAGTCAATGCATGGGCAATTGGTCGAGATTCTAGTTCTTGGGAGGATCCTCTAGTATTTAAACCTGAGAGGTTTTGGAGTTCGGATGTGGATATGAGAGGGCAAGATTTTGAATTGATTCCGTTTGGTGCTGGTAGAAGAATATGCCCCAGAGTGTCACTGGCATTAAGAATAGTTCCGGTAATGTTGGGCTCGCTATTAAATTCCTTCAATTGGAAGCTTGAGGCAGTAATTGCACCAAAAGACTTAGATATGGAGGAGAAGTTTGGTATCACCTTAGCGAAAGCCCATCCTTTGCGAGCTATCCCATCCCCGATTTAGAGTATCGTATTATATTATTACTTTAAATACAACATTTGTTGTGATTATTACAGTAAAATAAGAAGGTTATGATGATTAGAAGAAGAGATTGTTGTGCAACATCATTTTCCTCATAAATGTAGCAATGTTCAAATGCCAAAAGACCTATGTACATATCAACAAGGGTTGTACTGGAGTGGTAAGTACTCCTTCATTCTTAACCAGAGATCTCGGGTTCAAGCTCTAGGTATGAAGTCGCCTTTGTGGGACTTCCCATTGCGAATAGTCAGGCTCCAATGTGCGTACAGGACGCCGGGTGAGAAACGGAAAAAAAATGACTTATGTACATTACATTCTTATATATGTTGTTTTGTTTGAATTCTTGCCTAGTTCTCTTTCTCCCTTTTTTCCCTTCACATAATAATGAAACACAAGAATAGAAACTATACCAATTGAGTATCTTTGTAGAACATCTGTGACTATTCGTTATATATTTAAAATTATAAATAAAAAAGGAACAAGAAAGTCTTTGGTAGAATAAACCTATGTAAATTCAGAATTTAAATTTTATAAATTCCTACAACAATCTCAAGTTAATATATAATAATATATGAATTCATAGTCATATATTCATAGATATTTAGTAAATTTTTTAATATATACAAGATTTTTGCAAAAAATAAAATAAAATATTGAGTTCGTGTGAACTCTAAATTCCAATGTAGATTCGCCGCTAATAATATCTATATGCCCTTATAGTTATCCAATTTTTCGTGATCTCATTATTATCATATTTATATTCCTAACTTGTATGTGAATTAATAATTCACCTATTTTTATTATAGAGGACAATTTTACCTAACCACTTGAAGGTAGAAGTTATTTGCAATTAGAAATTAGCCATTATGACAAAAAAGTCAATAATACAAACACAATGAAAATATTATAGACATCTGTGCTACACATGCGAATTAAATTAACACCAAAAAGTTCTACCTGAAAATAAAATATGACAATAAAATGTCAACGAGACAATTTAAAATATCAAAGTGACAGTTATGTTTTTTTTTTCCAAATCTTTTTTGATATCGTTAATAAGACAATGTAAAGAGATCTCGACATCGACTTTGCTATTTTCGTAATATTTTTTCTATTATTGGTGTGACAAATTAAAGATTTGCCAATCGACTTTGAAATTCTTAATTGTGTTTTATCGCTCTCAATCATACAATACTGACATATACATAGATATAATATGCAAATATAAACAGATGCAGATGTTATATGTCCTTGAATTATCATGCACTTAAAAGGTCTAAAAAGTGCAATCGAATATTTTAAAATTGGAGTAAAGAATGTGGTTCAAGAAAACTACACCGGTATTAATGGGAAAACTATCCAAACTATTTAGTCCATAAATAATGGAAAAAGGTAAAAAAATAGTCAGATTTGTCGGTGATAATTGAAAAATAGTTACAATTTTAAAAGTAGTCAAAATATAGCCATTTTTCATGTAAAGATAAAATCTGAACAAAAATACTCTTCAAATTCGAAAAAATTCTAGCATAATATGTTGTAGTTCGAATTTCTTTAATATGAGATTCTAGCATAATGTGTTGAAATTTCATACTGGAATCTCATAATGTGTCGGAGTTTCAAAATGTGCTGGAGTTCCAACATAATATGCTGGAAATTTATACGTAGAAGCTCCATAATCCAACATATTATACTGGAACTTTTCGTGTGCTAGAGTTACAACATAATATGCTGGAAGTTTATACTCAGGAACTCCATAATCCAACATATTATGCTGGAACTTTTGGTGTTTCAGCAAAATCGTTGATAGTTTTCAATGACTTTGCAAATGCTGACTATTTTTCAATTACCAATCCGAAAACCGGCTAACCTGTGCTATTTTTACCTATATAATTTCAACCAAAAATAGCCCAAAACAAAATATCTACCAAAATTGCCCAAATATCATTTTGTAATACAGGTCTATTTTGCTCAAACATAAAGGCATTTGAAAGTTTAGGTATACCCGGTCAACATCCTTTATTACAAATAAATTTAGAAAACGAAATTCAATATCATAAATGTCACGGTTGATTATGATTTCAAATCAAAACAGAAAATGCCAAAATCTGCAAGAGATCATATTGTGGCAAGATTATGACCCCAAGAATTTTGAGGTGGTTCAGAGTCCGTTAGGCTGTCACTCTTTATCTGATTTGACTTGGTCATTGGCTTGTTCGTTCATTCATGTGCTGAATTACATGTGACAAATCGGGGTCGGGTTGGATATGGCCGAGTCAAGAAACGGATAATGCAAAAAAGAAATAAATTATTCGATCCGACCTATATATAATACGAATTAACCGGCGGATAATATAAATATTTGTCACGACCCAAAATTCATCCGAAAGAGTCGTGATGGCACCTAGCCTTTAAAACTAGGTAAGTCTAATACATACCGAAATGATAACAGGTTCTACAAAATATTTATTAAACATAAACCGGAAGTTTTTTAAATAAGCCAATAATTTTAACATGATACAACATTCCAAAACCGATAGGACAAGTCATAAGCTTTTCTACGAGTCACTAGAAATAACAACACAATACATCACTGTCCCGGAATAATAAGTATCAAGACTAACCAAGGTAGAGTAGTGACGAGACCAGTTCAAGACACCTACCGAATTGTAAACCTGTGTAGGATATGATACAAAGCTAACAAGGAAAAAATATCAATGTAAGGCCATTAACAAAAGGAATTCAATTTACAATCAACTGTGAAGATAAGGGGGAAACGAATGGCAACGAGAAATAACCAGGTAACTAAGCAACAACACAGTCAGGGTACGAATGAAGTATGAATATGTCCAACTAAGCAACAACACAGTCAGGGTACGAATGAAGTATGAATATGTCCAACTAAGCAACAACACAGTCAGGGTACGAATGAAGTATGAATATGTCCAACTAAGCAACAACACAGTCAGGGTACGAATGAAGTATGAATATGTCCAAGTAAGGAAAACCGATGACAACTCAATTAATCAAATCATTTCTAATAAACGGATTTCAACAATCCAGTTTTCATAATCCCAGATCATAATCACAACTTCCGAACGTCACACACATGGCATCTTGTGCCACCTTCTCCATATTACTTTCAAATGGCAAAATCCACATGCTACCAGGTACATAGTATCAATAGTAAATGCTAATAAATAATATTCGTGGGGTCTATTCATATATAATAAAGAAAGATTACAGTTTCTGAATCAAACAGGAAATCAATGAGAATGAGTTTATTTTGAAAAATATTTGGGTGAAGAGAATAACATTTTCAAATAAAATAAGGCTACGGATAAGCTACTGATTTGAATACAGAATTTAATCAATTAAAACATAATAGCAATTCTTTTTTTTTAAGCAAATTAGAAACATCAGATAGGGTAAGTAGATTAAGTTAGGAAATCGATTAAAGTGAAATATGATGATGTGACGACCCAAAGGGTCATCACCGGTTTTTTTCCTTTTCCCGTACTTCCGAGGCCTTGAAAACCTCACTTTTAGTTACCTTGATTTGTGTGCGTAGTCCGGGCGCGTAGCCGGAAAGTTTATGTGTTAAATTCTGTGGAAAATTTTAAAATGTGGCTTTAAAATGGTTAAAGTTGACTTTGGTCAATATTTTGGGTAAACGAACCCGGACCTGTGATATGACCATCCTGGAGGGTCCGTAGGAAAATATGAAACTCGAGCGTATTCCCGGAATCGAAATCCGAGGTCCCGCGCCCGAGAAATGAATTTTTGAAGAAATTATTTTTCTGAAAATAATATGAAAATTTGAAATGAAAATGAGTTAGAAAGTATTGTTATCATGCCCGTATTTTGGATCCGACGCCCGGTACAAGTCTTAAATATCGTTTAAGCGCTTTCTGTAGATTTTGGTCGAAATCGGACGTCGTTTGACGTGTTTCGGACCTAAATATCTAAAGTTTGAAGTTTATGAAGTTAGAATGAAAAAAGATGATTTTAAGGTTTGATTCATTGATTTTGATGTTGTTTTGGCAATTTGATCGCTCGGTTTAGTTCGTAGGATGTTTTTGAGTTTGTGTGTGTGTTTGGTTAGGAGCCCTGAGGGCTCGGGAGTATTTCGGAGATGGTTCGGAGTGTTTTGGCCATAGGAAAATGTTGCAGAAAATCTAATTTGTTGTTGCCCAGTTCCTTCTTCTATGCGATTTCATAGCCTTCCCCCCCCCCCCCCCCCCCC